TTCTCGACAAGGATCATAGACATAGCTATTTCGGGTTTCTCGGTCACCCCGCAACTCCTTTAAGGGATCTACCATCTTTGGAAGGCCATCAACTACAAGAATATGAGTATCGATGGTGTGATAGTGCAACTACATCATGCTACTATGAATAGCTTACTACGGATTCTAGTTAATAGTGAAGGCAACGAGTATTTTGCCTCCAGGTGTTTATTGGTGTCCTTTTACTTGGTGACTGTCCTGCAATCCTTCTGAAGTCTTTGTAAGACCTACCGCAATGGCCCTGAGAATAAGGCATCTCCGCGGAGGGGGCCCTCTGTTCAGACTTGGCACTTTCCCCTTTCAGGGAGCTCATTCGAAGCAACGGGTTAATTATTGGCCCGCCCCTGGTAGCCCTGTGGCTTTGGAGTGGCACAGAAGCAAGTAACATGCGGGTATGAGTGCCCTTTTTGCAAACCTTGCATAAATCAGCATAAGAATATTTAGCAATTTTGCGCTTAGGATATGCTATCATATAATTCACAAACACGAAAGGCGATGGACTGCAGTAATGTTGCAGATAAAATATCCACTAAGTGATTATCACTTAACAGGAGTCGTTAAATAGTATGTAATGAGATTGCTCGTCTTTCTATTTCACTTAGTGGAAAGACCCAACTTCAGATAATAGTAGATTTCGAAGCATCATTCATTAATATTGCTGTAGCTCATTATAGACATGACTGACTAGATATGGGCTCACAATCAGCATTAACTTCATGGCCTAGAATACACACAAGACTTGTCCCTGTTAGAAGATATACAACACCCACGCCATCATGAACCCAATGAGACTTGAATCCGCCTGTTCTATATCTTAGCCTACCTTGCTCTTTACACAACCTCGGCCATAAGGTACAACTCACCTGTGAAAGTACCTGCCCCACGTTCTTAGACGACTCGGCTGTTTGCCCGGAAGACGTCTTGGTCGACACAGATGCCTGGGTCTGGGTCGCACTACTGATTCCTTGAGATGACGCCGTAGCACCAGACTCTGATGAAGTTACGGAGGCATCAGCTTGGTTAGGTGCACGCAGGGCAGACCCAAGACAGGATGCGGGCTCGCTCTCTGTCGCGCAGCAGGCATTCAGAGCTTTTTGTCCAAGGCCGGTGCATTCTTTGCAAATCACGGAGGCGCATGAAGAAATAGTCGGAGCGCAGGTCTGGATGAATGCATTACACTCGTTGAATCGTGTTTCTTTAAAGCCGATGTCTTCGCTAAGCTCTGGCCCTAGGTTGGGAACGGGGAGATCCGCGGCGACCAGGGCCGCACAGAAGAGCATGAAAGCAAGCATTATAGGTAGGTTTCCAGGTTTAGAAGATGAAAAAGTAGTTGGGAAAATGCACGCCAGAGCGCAGATCCGGTATGCGGTTGTGACTCTATATAAGGCCAAGCCCGGTAGGCCTTGACCTCTATTGGGCTTTGACTTTACATCCCCTATCTTAGGTTCCCTCCTTTGCTGAATCTGCCCTACCATGAGGCTTGGAACGAGCCTGTTTGGGACTCAATAACGGACGGATAAGGCTGGGAGTGACAATATCGATCCTATCGATTGGATTCTCAACCATACTGACGGCATGCTTTATCCGAGGCAGCAGGGGGGAACAAATGGTAGCTCGTTCAATTGGATGCTCAGCCGCGCTAACAGTGGTGTGGCTTGGAGCTGGGACGTGAAGGCTGATTAACGGCACGTTTCATCCGAGACGACCCCTCTGATAGGCTACTGAGCCATAACCTTTCTGGTGTATCCCAGGTCTCAGATACAGCTAGATCCTCCTCGCAAGAGCATCATGGCTCTCTTGGTCGACTGTCGTGACCTGGAGTAGAACTGGAAGACCTTGAAGCTCGATTGTGACGTTTGAGAAACTTTTGTTTCTCCATGGACCAGCTGAGTGGTGTTTGTGCACCCAAACTACCTCCATCATCACCAGATTTGAGAGGAAGGAAGAAGCAGTTCTACTAGCCGACATATAAAAAGACTAAAATACATAAAAGGCACTACGATGATCAAAGAGCTCAAGTAAATCAAAGACGAGTGACAACATATGGAACCAGCAGTCTAGGTAGAGGAGAACTACCATGGATTATCGCTGACTCCCGCGTATCGGTATCCTCCATTCTGTGCAAGCGCACTGCGGATCTGCGCAAGAGCTTGAGTGGCACTCCCGCCGTAAGGAGCACCGTCCAATCCATAGATAATCCCGTCAATACCCACGCCCATGAGCTTCTGAACCAGCTGCACTTGATCCACTACCGCCGTCCAACTGAATACCTTTCCAAATTTACCACTTGCAACTTCCTGGCGCAGCTGAGTACAGGTCAGATGTGCATCTCCCGACTCTGTGCAATCGCCAAATCCTTCTTTGAGGTCCTTCCAGCCATATGAAGCTACACGCTTCTGGATACTGGAAGGTCCCTTGTTGTTGAAGGACTGCTGTAGAGGAGCTGATCTACCATCTACATTCATTGCCTCGTTAGCAGTGAGGCCGGATTGTAGAAGCCGGTATGCGTTGCCATTCTCGTTTCCGTAAAACCCATACAGGACGCGAACACCTTGAGGCTCTAGGATCTGTCTGGCCAGATCCCTAAGGGCCGCTATCGAACAACCCCATTCTTCTGGTTTACCAGGATCGCAGGCATCGGGGTTCTTCAAATCAAGCCAGACAAAAGTGATGGGCTTGCCAGCCTTGCGATGAGCAGCGATGTTATCGAACATATCTTTCGCTCTATCGCCATTCTTGCTTGGCCCATCGTGCGATGCCCACCAACCATCTTTGCCTTCTGAGAATATATCCATCTCTATGGCATTGGCACCGTCGTTTACGGCGCGTTGAACAGCGCTCATGTCGTTACATCGATGAGCGATAGCATAGAACGGCTTCTTTGCGGCTCTGATACCGAGTTCTGGTAGGATATCGTCGAAGTCGTCAGTGGCAGCGTGTCTTACAGCGAGACTGCTCTCATGCCTAGGAATGATAAGAGGGTTCGCTAAAGCTCTTGTGACAGCAACGACAGACAAGCTTGATAGAAGATAATGTAGGCTTCGCATTCTGATTGATAGGTTTTGTTGGGGATGCAGTTGAAAGTGATGGGAGAGAAAGAAATGGAATGAAGGAATTGGCCAACGACTACTATTTATTGGCTTTCGGATCGAGGGCTGTTTAGACAGTACTTAAGGAATAATCCTGGCTCATTTCATGTAAAGCAGCGAGTGCCATGGAAATGTCTGAAGTTAACTTAAACGTCTGTAATTACGGTATCTGACAACTTATGCTTACATGGCGCACGTAATCACACAATACGATTTAGGCCACCTTCCCTAACAGGCCCGTGTGGCTCTTATATCATCGTTTGTGCAATTGACATCTTTTGATTGGAACTGTCGTAACGCCTAAATGAGGGCATGTCCCCCTGATGTAACCAATGGGAACGCACGTGGCGTACAACAGCCAGAACCGTCAGGACAAGCGTTTGAGGACCTGAAAGCTTCACAGAGTTTGTTATGCACTTGCCAGCCAGTCTGAATGCTTGGGATGATAGAGAGCCCTGCATTTTATGTTGCACTGCGCATTCTCGTAAATAAGCTACTCGTAAATGAGAATTCAGACGGGCTGGTGTTAGTAAAATACATGCCAAAAAGGAGATACTAACAAGGCTCAACGCTTGGAATCACAAGAGAATAAACATAATCTAAAGGGCATATCATCAACTTCCTTGCTTGTTATTATGCTTTGATTCGGACTACTGTAGGTTTTTGGGCTGCCATTGGGGGCATCCACGCTGATCACAACTCCCGGGATAATGAATTAGATCTCCCTCCATCTTCCTTGTTTTTTCTCTATGTGAGGAATTAAGCTGTGTGTTATTTTTGCATATCGCAAAAAGAGGATGACGCGGAATACGTGTAAAAATGCGACGAGATATCGTTCACGTTCCTGGTCCCGAAAACTGTGTCATGAAGGGGAACAGCAAATGCTTCACTCAGCACGACTTGAATTAGCACTCGGAGCACCTGAAACAAAACTTCAATGTCGGGATGTAATTGATTGGTTTGTTTTGTGAAGCTTTTTTTTGTTCCTCCTTCAGTCCACTTTGGACTATGGTGCCGTTTCTCCGAGTTATGTGTTGGTTGGTTCCATATGTGCTGGTCGTCCCAAGGTTGCCTTAGGCGGCTGGTTCGCCAATCCGTGCCCGATGCCTAATCACGTTTTCATTCTTCAAACGAGCCATTTCAGCCCCTCATTCATTCTTACACGCTATCATCTCTTCCGTAGATTTTACGAATTGATACACAACTTACGTATAGCTATTCAATAACCGACTTATCCAGCACGGTCTTTGTGCGTGATTTCGATGCCACTCTCTATACTAACAATTTGCTGACATCTTCAGACAAGTCCAACATGAGCCTCACGGACGAGAGTTCACCTGTCGAACAGCTCTTCCTCGACCGCTCGATCCACGACGTCCTGACAAAGAAATGGCCTGCGGTTGAGCCATGGGCTACTATGTATGTTGATGCGATTCGAGAGCAAAGATATGGCGATGCTGTGTGGGCACGATATCACATAGAAGGAAATGTCGAAAATGGTATCATCATCAGTCCATCTCCGAGCGATAATATGCCAGTTTTGGACAGTATCAGAGAAGATGCGGTGGAAGCGAAGATGAACGAGCCCGAGTTCTATGCAACAGCTTTGCAGTTTTACGCTAAGACTAGTCCCTCGGACAGACATCCTGAGGTTATTAAGATCATTTTCGAGGCTGATAAGGCGTAACTTCGCGGTGAGGGGGATTAAGTAAGGTGAAGAGCCTTGATGGGACGAGGATGAAGGATTTCTGCCGCTCGAGATTATTTAAGAACCAACTTGTATCTAAGCACTGGCTATTGACTGTGTTTGCTACAAGAGATTGAACCTGAGAAACATGTCAAATGGTTATCTCTCTGCACAGTCGTCCAAAGCTATTCAGGACTATTTGATACATATCCAGAATCAGACTGTTTTGTTGCCTCGCCAGCACCATCCTCCCCTGACTTTAATAGATCTTCAATCAACCCGCCACTATCAAACGAGGATTGCAGTTCTCCAAAGATGGAGGATGGATCAATAGCGCCGAAGTCGAAGGTATCTAGCCACGTTTCACCCTCTCCCTCAAAATGCAGATCAGCACTTTCAACGCTAGGCAGCTCAGAAATAGGAAGCTGTGGTCCTTCGGCTGGTGCAGGCATATCGTTGTCAGCTTCAGGGCGTTGAGCTGGGCTTCTCAGGCGCCGGATCTGCCTCAGTTCTTGAAAGGCCTGCTCCAATAGAGTCTTCACCCAGTCGCCGGCTCTTCGCCTCAGGTTCTCCTCCACAATATTCATGTCTCGGTCTAGCTCTCTCCCCAAAGCTTGTCGAAGACGCTGCGGCACTTCCCTCAGTATGTACTGTTCATAATGCGCCAGATAGCCCGATTCAGGATGGCAGGTATCCTCCTTCTGTGACGCTTGGCTGTAGTCATAAACTAGAAGTGGTTAACGCTATCAGGATTGAGGTCGCCTCTTATTGCGCCAGGCCAACTTACATGGAGACGGGATGTCATCATCCAGCACGTGCGGAAACAGAATATTGAAAATTCGCCTCCACTTCTCCGTCTCCGAAAGCTTTTGGTTAGCCCTCTTTCGTGATCTAAGGCTTCTTTCCTGCACTGCGTCAAACCCCTCAACATACTCCATTTCCCGCAAACGGCATGGCTCATCGGTTCTCTGGTGGTCCATAATGCCTTGCTCATCCGTGAAGGGTTGCCAGCAGCGTGCACAACGATATTGGGGCTGTCTGTGACGTCGATAGAGATGCTCCCTGCCTAAGTATTAGAGTCAGATGCTCCAGAGGGGTCATCCAGTTATACGCACTTGACACGATGGACATCATTCCAGCCAGGCCCTGGGCATGTCCTCCAGTCTTTGTACTTGGCTGGATTGTACTTAAAGTATAGACAAGCGTACTTTGGATCCTCATGCTCTTTTATGGCCACACCACTGCTCCACGGGTCTTTCCCCTTGCCACCTTCGTCCTCGTTGTCTGTGTCTTGATCATCTTCCTCCGCTGCTTTTCTCTTTTTGTTATCACGATTGTTAGAGCTGGAAGACCCAGTGCGAAGATGTGAGCCCAGCAGTGTTTCTGATATCCCAGATGAGTTGGTTGAATTACCACCGGTGTTTTTACGCCACACGTCTAGGTTTAAATGCAACCACTGCATCACAGTAAAAACAATCCTGTCAACAACCTGGCCCTTCCAATAATCGATGTAAGTACTCGTAGTGAAAGAGCCTTCATCGCTGTCGGGTGTTTGAGAGGAATCCCTATCATCTAGTTCTTCTGAAGTAGCGTACGATTGTCCAGGTTTCGAAGACGGCAGTGTGTTGAGAAATTGATGAGGAATATCAAGATTCTCCGTTTTGGTCACTGTCTTGAGTGATTGAAATGCATCTTGAGACAGATGTAGGCCTTTCCGGTTTTGAGTCAGAATTGGTATGCTATCGGATGTGTATACGCCCGAATCATCATGTGCAAGCTGATCGACAGCGGAGGCATGGATCTCTTGATCCGGGTCCTTGGCCGAGTCATCCATCCTTATCGTCTTTGGTGTTGAGCATTCTTTTTCTTTCTCATTTCGTGTCCAACAGTCCATCCTGGCTTGATGTCTCTATGAATCGCCTATTGTTCAACAGATGTTATTGACGTAATATTAACGTTCCCTGAGCTTACCATCATATCATTTGCCCGTATGAAGCCTCGACCACAATCTGGGCAGAAGATAGATACCTTCTTTAGCGGACGGTGTTTTGCTAATTTCCAGATTCGTGGTTGCGCGATTGGTGAGAAGCTACTGGAGCTCCGTGTCTCATCTCGGGATGAGGACGAAGGAAAATTCCGCAAAGCCTGTAATAAATCTTTCTGAGTCGGTGAAGAAATCTGTTGTATTATCTCGTAGCTCGTCGGGTTGCAATCTGCCACTTCGTGTTTTAAGCATTTCGTTACGTCACCATTTAAGTCGAAAGGTGATGGATCCTCGTTCGTGTGCAGGACCTTGGACTCTTCATCTGAGTCTATGGAGATGGAAGGGGACGCCATGGTAGCCTGTAGCTGAGCCTGTTTTAACCAAGTGGATAGGCCGAAGAGTACAGAGTCGGTGAACTGGTTGACATGCAATGCGGGGCATTGATTGTATTTGAACCCAATGGATAGCTGAACCAGGTACTGCGCACGGTTGTCCATAGCTAGCTGTTGATAGGTCAGATAGACCAGGATAGTGCGGCTGAGAAAGACTTCTCTTTGTTTTCCGCATTTGCGCATAACTGGATTGAGCCAGCACTAACGCGACAAACACCTTTTATACACTTTCTATAGCTCAACCCTAAACTCTGAGATTTAGATTGCTTGGGTTCAGTGACTTCATTATAAATTCATTTAACTGCAACACGTTGGTATTTGTTACCTGCAGATGGGCATAGTGATATTGACTTGGTACCCTGAAAGCGGACTTTCGCATTGACCTGACACCTGTATAAATACGAATTCAAGATATTTTATTGATAAACTAATGGATTTCAAGACTGACTTATTATGCCTTACCTTACGGATACGGTACACCAAGTCCATCTATTTGCAGCTTAATTCTCCATATAACCCCGGATTCTTTCAACGGCTGCGAGATCAAGTGGCGCTGTGGAAACTATTCCTAAAGACCCGATTGGTTGAGCAACAAGACCAAAATCTGAAATGCCTCGGCGTCTTGGACCCACAATCCTTCACTCGCGCGTGTTGGTCGGGCACGGATATAAATACCAACTTCACATCACTTCAACACACGCGCCAAGCTACCCCTCCTAATCTATCTCCAACCTCCAGCGTCATCATCCATCAATCCATGGGTTACCTTCAATCATTACAGCCTCGCCATGCCGCAAGACGAGCTCCCCAAATCCACCGCCCAGCCGACCAATCCTGAACCTAAAAATGAACGCGCCGTCTCACTCGTCGATCGCTTCACATGGGGCAACTTCACCTGCACGCAGTCCACAGGCGGTGTGGCCCTGATGCTATCAAAGAGCCCGTACTCATTTCGCGGGCTACACACCATTGGCGTCGTGGTCTTTATTCTCAACCTCGTTCTGTTTATTCTGTTCTGCACAGCTATGGTGTGTCGGTTTGTTCGGAGACCAGCTAGTTTCCTCAAGTCTGTGACGAAACCGCCTGAGGCGTACTTTACTGGCTCGCTGTGGCTTTCGATGGCGACGATTATCATGGGGATACAGAGTTTTGGCGTTCCTCACGCTGGGACCTGGCTTGTCGATACCGTTCGGGTTTTGTTTTGGATTTATGGTGGTATCACGCTGACGTATAACGTTGTTATTTTTGTGGTCATGTTTTCTCTCGCACCTTTTGCACCGGGGAGTATGAGCTCTCCGATGTTTCTGATGATTTACAACGCTATGCTCACCGGGACTGTCGCGTCAGTAATCGCAGCGGATCAACCTCCATCAGAACGAATACCAATCATCGTTGCTGGCATTGCTTTCGAGGGTCTTGGCTGGATTCTTTGTCTCCTTTTTCTTCCCCACTTTGTCGGCAACCTCCTTGTCAACGGCCTCGGCCCCGTCAATCTCAGACCAGGCCTCTTTATCTCCGTGGGTTCTGCAGGCTATACCATCATAGCCCTGATCGGCTGCGCAAAAGCAATCCCAGACGGACACGGCTACTTCGCGAAACATCCGACTGCAGCAGAGACACTCAACATCATGGCGTTGTGGGTAGGAATATTCCTCTGGCTGTTCACCTTTTGGCTCTTCGCAATTGCCGCGGTTGCGCACGTGCCCATTTTGGTTTCAAAACTCCGCGGGGATAAGTCTCGGCAGCAGATGAGTTTTGCCCTTCCGTGGTGGGCGATTGTCTTCCCCAATGTTGGGTTCACGATTGCTACGGTGTATATTGGGGAAGAACTTGAATCCAGCGCCATATCCTGGGTTGCTACTGTTATGACTATTTTGGTTTTTGTAGCGTGGTTGATGGATATGTATTTGCATATGAAGTCGATATTTCAGAAGCGCATTATGTAGATAATTGCAAAAAGTAGAGCGTGGAACGCAAGTCAAGCGCGTAACTGGCCTTTTCTATCTAACTCCGCCATACTGTTTATAGCGAAGTGTGAGACTATATATATACAAAAGCGTTTGCTGAATCTAAGGTTAAATTTTAGACATATTCGATCCACAAAGATCCCGTTTTTCTACTCCAGATGGGTACATTAATTGCTAAATTACAAGGATGACCGGGTAAAAAGGACCATGCTTTGCCCCGCCACCCTGAAGAAACATCAGTGCGATAAAACAGTCAATTTCTCAGAGTGAAAGGATTGCCATTACTGTATTGAAACTAGTTAAGGAGCGACTACATATGTTTCATTCTACTAAAGAGAATGACAGAGTGCAACAGCTGTGCAGAAGACATTAAACAATTCCTGTTTGACAGTTCCCGCTTTGTTGAAAAGTGAGAAAACCATCGCGTATCCACCCTTCCTGCAATGCACTCAGCTCCATCAGGACATAACCCATCTATCCCTTGAGCTCAGAGGGGATATCAACACACTTGGGGTGCAGCTCAATGTTGCGCTGGCTCCACCAGGGATTCTTAGCCGCAATCGAGATCAAATCTCGTCCCTCCACATCAGCGTGAATACCCAGGTAGTACGCCACGTAAACAGTGAAGAAGTGACCATAGAAGAACTTCTTGAAGAAGTTGTCCTGGTTGAGATCAATGTTGATGAACTCAATATTCTTGTTCTGCGGAACGCTCTTGCTGCCGAACAAACCCTCCAGAGTCTTGACCTTGTCCTTGGTGTATTGATCTGCGTTGGAGTCGAGGAAGGTGATGATGGCTTGCTTCTCAGAGGGGTTGGAGTAAGCCGCAACTTCGGTGTGCGAGAACTCGTGCAGGAGGTTACGGTGTGTAGGAACCATGGCGATTTCGTTGAAGAACATAGTCGTCTGCTTAAGAAGCGTGACGTACCAATCAGCGGTACTAAGCAGCGCAATACGACTATTCTTCAACCTCTCAGCAATAGCCTGGGCCTTCTTGAGAGTAGCATCGTTGAACTCAGTCTTCAAGAAGTTGACCGAGTCCTGAAGCTCTTTGTGATAGGAAGAAGGTGTGAGCTTGAGCTTGTGGAAGAGATCCAGGAAAATGGAGAAGAACTGCTGGACGTGGTAAAGAGGGTACTCCCGATCCGCATGACGGAGCTTGTACAAGATAATAGAAGTATTGTGCTCTTCACACAGATGCTGAATCTTGCCACCGCCAGAAAGAACAATCAAGTTTTTGTTGCCCGTCATCTCCCGCATAGTCTCAAAGAACAAACACGGTTCAACAGACCAGCCACTATAGCAGACAATAATAGACAGCGTAGTGGGATCCTTCATGACATTGCGGTCAACGAACCAGTCAAGATCATAGTCGTTGATGACCTGAACATGGAGGGGAATCTTCTCGTTGAGGAAGAAGCCCTTCACGATGTCGGACACGACAGAGGAGCAGCCCATGCCGTAAAAGACGAGGCGCTTGAATTGGCCGGACTCGATCCTCTGGCGGAGATCGGTGTTGAGTTTGGAGAGGTCGTATTCGTGGCCCCAGAGGATACTCTCGAAGAGAGGGTTGCCGAGCATGGGCTGGAGACGTTCAAGACGGGGCTGCATATTGATGGTTTGGTTCTGGGATTTTGGTTAGAAGAGATTCGAGGTAAGGCTTTTTGTGAAGATTAACGTACTGAGTTTGATATAGTAATAGGGTTGAAAGATTGCACCTTGTGGTGAGAAGACTGGACAAGTGATATTGGATACTATGATAGAATTGTTGCTGTTGATGATGAGGAGTAGTCAACCTGGGTTCTTGAGCTCTTTATATACACATCTTTGATCTTGTTCCTTCCCTCAAAGGCAGATAGTTCCCTCTCATGGACAGAGAGAAGGCATTTCCTGATCCGTTCGCCGACATCTATCTCGAGCTATTCCGCCATTGCCGCAATGAAACTGGCTATACCAGTGGATCCCATACCACCATCACCGTGATGATTATGAATTTCCTCAACTTCGTCAACACCTTGAGGAACTTCCGTTGACTGGAGGATGTTGACCCTGGGAACGCAATGCATCCCAACGGCGTCGTACATACAATAGTATCCACAACTCCATGAATCCCAACTCTCGAATAGGTACACATCTCCGCCTACGTCGTGTCATAAGCTTCCCCTCCTTCGGCTTCATGAAGCACCTCGTGATAACTCTCGCTATGGAATTCGCATCACTTCCCTTTGTGAAATCTTCCCCACGCTCCTTTGGAGGGGTACAGCAACCGCGATGGTTACAATCAAGAAAACTCTATTCAATTACCGCGTGTGCATGGCCCGAATAGTTACCATAATTGGATTATGGAGGGTCTTGTGATGATTGTTGTGGATAAAAGGAGTGCTTGAGCCGTGTTTTGAGCCGCAACCTTGATCGGATCGAGGCATTGATAACCGTCTGTAAGAATCAGATCATTCTCGGTAGATCATCTGCCGGTTAAACTTTCCTTTGGGCTGCCATATGGAGGGCATGGTAATGGTTAGAGTTGACAGGAGTCAGATCATTGCGGTTCTGCGTTCCGGTTTTACACATGTTTCAGATTCATCACCTACAGTGTCATTGCTGGCAGTGATTGCCACGACCTTCCAATATTGGTGATTAATCAAAACGACCTTTTGTGAACCATCGAATCAACCAGAGCCATGAATGTTCAGTCCGCCTCGATTCTGCCGGATCCCACGCCGTTGCTGCCATTCTGAGCCAGTGTGACTAACATAGGATTGTGAACCTTGATATTCTGACATACTTCAAGACAAAACGCTTATCTCTTGGCCATCTTCATGACTCAGAATATGATAGATAACATACAAATACGACATCATGCATACGGACCTACCTATAGTAGTAAGCCAAAGCATTAACACTTCACAAAGATCGACATTTAGTTTCCCCCAGTTTCCCCATACTCCCCCGCCCAAGTTAGAGAAAACAAAGAGACAAGACCACTTTCAATTCCGCCTAGGTGGAGATAGGCTAGCTTCGGCTCACACACTAATGCGCAGAATGGGGGGCCGAGCGAGCCGTCCCGCCCCCTGTCGAGTCTTGTCGCCTTAGGCTCGTATCGCTTAGAAATGGCCGCGCAATCTTGTTCTCCACCTGCTCCTGGCTAAGACTGATTCTCCGCCGATTATGCAGGTGTTTGTTGTCCAAACTCTATTCTGCCGGATCGAGATCCTTCTGGCTGGAGCTATTTCCTGATATAGACGTGACATGATGTGTGTTGGCGCGGAGTTTCGGGGCCGAGGAGTTTCGGCCCGCGCCGTTGGCCCGTGATAGAGAATGACGGACAGATGCACTGTGGACTCGACTAGACTCGGACATCGCCTTTCTAGCCGTATCTGGCATATGCATTGCGCCTCTTACATAGTCGGATTCATTATGATGCCTTGTATGATAGGCACGAACTATATAATATCTTGCCTGTTTTGGTTCAGGCTGTCCTAATATCGCAGTTTGCATAACAGCATTCAACTTACATAATTCTATGTAAAACTCGAATCACGCCGAAATGAGAGTCCAAGCCACCGCGGAAACCAACTCGCACGATGCGAGGAATTGGGTTCCTCTGCTGGATGAGCCTGCATACAAGCCCAGAAACATACGCATTGTTTGTGTTGGGGCTGGCTTTTCAGGCCTCATGCTAGCTTATGAAGCCAAGTACAACGAATCACTTCAAGGATTCATTGATCTGACTATCTATGACAAGAACCACGATGTTGGTGGGACGTGGCTTGTCAATCGATATCCTGGTGTGGCAGTGCGTTCTTCCATGAATAGATTCAGCTGACATAGATTACTGACATTACCAGTGTGATGTTCCAGCGCACATTTACACTTTTCCGTTTGAGCCAAATCCAGATTGGTCCAGCTTCTATGCTTCGGGGCCAGAAATCTGGGCTTATATCAAGAGAACTACAGATAAGTACGGTTTGGCCGAGAATGTCAGATTTCAATCCAAAGTGACAGATGCCACCTGGAATGAGGAGGCAGGTAAATGGAATCTGAAGATCTTCCAAGATGGCGAGGAAAAGGAAGACGAATGTGATATACTGATCGACGGGTCGGGGTTTCTCAAGTATGCTCCCAGCGAGTTAAGTTTTGACATCGAGGACTGACGGCGTTAGTAACTGGCATTGGCCTGATATTCCTGGTCTTCATGACTTCAAAGGACAAATCGTCCATACTGCTGATTGGTACATCTCTCTGCCCCCTTTTGCGTTCTTTCTCTTATAACTGGCTCCCAGGAACCCTTCCATCAATGTGGCGGGCAAAAAGCTTGCGGTCATCGGTAATGGGTCATCTGGTGTCCAAGTCCTTCCGCATCTGCAAAAGAGCGCTGCCCAACTGACAACCTATGTGCGCACTCCAACCTGGATATTCGCGAACTACGCCTCAGAGCTTACAAAAGACGGAACGAACTTCGCCTTTTCCGAAGAGGAGAAAAGGAAGTTTCGAGAAAACCCCGCCTCGCTGTGGAAGTTCCGCAAAGAGATTGAGAACAGGTTTGTACAGCACTGATATCAAGAAACCTTACTGATTCGCATACAGCCAGGACAACTTCTGGAACGTCTTCTTCAAAGACACAGCCGCTCAAAAAGCCGCGCTTGAGAATGCATACAACCGTATGCGAGAACGTCTCGGCAATGATAAAGAGCTGTGTGAGAAGTTAATCCCAGATTACGAATACGGGTGTCGACGCCCAACTCCAGGGGATGGCTACCTTGAAGCTCTCCGTCAAGAAAATACACGTGTCACCTTTGATCCAATCGTTCAGATCACCGAGTCAGGGATCCAAACTACCCAAGACTATACTGACTTTGATATTATTGTCTGCGCAACCGGGTTTGATGCTAGTTTCCGCCGCTCATGGACTGTACAGGGGCGGAATGGTTATCAGCTCCATGAAGCGTGGGGGGAGTCGCCCGAAGCGTACTTTGGGGTTGCAGCGGCGAACATGCCGAATTACTTCATCTTCATTGGACCGAATAGTCCAGGTAAGTAAACTCTAAAATAGTAGGGTTGCATTACTGATAGTCCGCAGTGGGTCATGGCTCGCTTCTAGACAGCGTGTTTTGTGTCGCGAAATGGATATTGAAGTGGTGTAGGAAGATTGCAACCGAAGATATCAAGTATTCCGTCTGCCGGGTTTACATGATATGATCAGACAAGCTTACGTTATGATAGGTCAGTTTGTGTGAAACAGCAGGCGCTGGATGATTACAACGTTTACCTGCAAGAACTCCTCAAGCGGATGGTGTGGACTGGGTCATGCAGAAGCTGGTACAAGAATCGCAAGAAAGACGGAAATGTCACTGCAGTGTACGGTGGAAGCCGCCATCATTTCAGAGGTAAAGTGTACCCCCTTTCCTGTCGGCCTTCAGGTTCACGTTTACTAATCTAAACCACTTCCGTCAGAAATACTCGAAACCTTTAGAACAGAGGACTTTGATATTGAGTATAGATCAGTCAACAGATTCCGGTTCATGGGTAGCGGGAGGACTTTGCGGGAGACAAGAGGAGAGTACTACGTGCTGAATTAGGAACTTCGTTGGTCGAATAGCTAGTGTCGATAGATAAAGGAACTTCTATGTGCGGAGACGGAACTCGGGTTACACAAACCCTCCATCTTTGGTGATTCGTAATTACCGGCAGCAACTTGCGTGACATATCATATTGTGACCCAAATGACGTGACATGCAGCATGCGTAGCATCCAAAACATCGCCTAGACGCGTACACAATCCTTCTCGGCCTTTCGGTCCTACAGATTATGATATGTCACTCCTGGAGGTGCACCACCACTCTAACCGAGGCCCCTTCTTGCGGGGAGGCGGATGACGGTGATATCGGTAGTTGACCGAATGAATGGATAATAAGAAGGGATCGGCAAATGATATATACATTGTGTTATACTGCTTTTGGTATCATGCCACCTCACAGAAACAACGAGAAACTACACAGCACCAACCAAGCTTCCACAACTACACTATGGGTTCCATCAATACTGCTCCGACTCTACCCACCATCAGGCTCAACGATGGAAACGAGATCCCAATGGTCAGTTTTATCTCGCTGTGTGTTCGACTTGAGGTTAACGAGAAATAGATAGCGTACGGTCTAGGAACCGCAAACTTCAAGAAGGGAGGAAGAACAGACTATGATGAGAACGCGTTCAACTATACATTGACTGCCATAAAGAGTGGCTTTTATCATCTTGACGGGGCTTCAAGTATGTTCTTCTAGTGCCTTTCAAAATCATACCCCTCCTGATAGTTATCTAGCGTACGGAAATGAGGAGGAGCTCGGTGCAGCTATCAGAGCATCCAACGTGCCGCGGGAAAAGCTGTACGTTGTCACCAAGCTCAACGGCTGGAAGAAGCAAGACGTACAGAGCGCTTTTGATACTTCGCTGAAGAAACTTGGGCTTGATTATGTGGACTTGTACCTCATTCATGCTCCATTCTTCGCGGAGAGGCCTCAAGATTTACAAGAGGCTTGGGCTATCCTCGAATCTATCAAAGAGTCTGGAAAGGCCAAGTCAATTGGCGTTTCTAACTTCATACAAGAGCACCTCGAGACCATCCTTGCCACAGCAAAAATTCCACCAGCAATCAACCAAATCGAATACCACCCCTATCTGCAGCATGGTAATCTCATAGAGTACCATCGCAAGAACAACATAGCTCTATCGGCCTATGCGCCACTAACAGCTATTATACGTGCCAGGCCAGGCCCCGTAGATGCTCTGTACGCGAATCTGGCAAAGAAGTATGGTGTCACTGAAGGGGATATTGCGCTGCGCTGGTGTATTGACCAGAACATCGTGGTGATCACGACGAGTTCGAGCGAAGAGAGGTTGAAGAGCTATATGAGGAATGTGTGGAGTTTTAAGCTGACGGCTGAGGAGATTGAGGGCATCGCGATGATGGGCAAGCAGAAGCACTTCAGGGCGTTCCAGAATCAGTTTATTGCGGAAGGGGATTGGCGATAGATTGCTAAGAATAGTTCTATCTTCAAGAAGTCTCTCAATTACAACCAGAATAATATGCTTTTATAGTGGGTTGATATTACTATCAAATAGCAGCTCCATGGGCGTCCCTTGCTTATATCCAAGAATGAGGATGGTGCGGGGAACGAACAATTCCATTTCACAGCTGCTGCCAAATACGGCGCTTCGCTCGTCTAGAAACATAAATCGATTACCGCCATGGTCAGAGCACAATACTAGATGCGCTGACCCGTAGGTTAGACTCTCGATTCAAGTCGGCTTTTAGCTAACGAATAAGGCGTGACGATCCATCCCACCGGGTACCTGTTCTTGATAATTGAACTCACGCGCCTACACGTCACTGAATACAGGATATCCATCCGGGAATTTTCAGCCGCCATGCGTCCTAGTAGAGAAGTCCACTGGTACCTTGATAGCCAGACAATGTTTGTCAAATCCTTATGTAGCTCTCTCACATATGGGTTCGGAATTCCAGACCTCGATTATTGTCTATGCTAACTTGTATCTAAAGCACTAAGACCTAGCTCACGGTCTTGGTGCCAACTGGGCATCTCAGGGGCAGCTACACGACTTTCTGGCTAATCTCCTAGTCAAGAACAGTTCTCCAGCAGGCGAATGGCACGTCTACCAATACTACAGCCAGGCCATGAAGGGTAATCGAGTCGGGACATCTCGGTCTGATGACGAGCTCTTTGAGGTCTACGCGACTCGAGGCGGCAGTGCGGGAACCGTCAAGATATTAGCAGCAATTCGACCCGTGGCCAGAAAGAAGACGTGCAACCTTTCCATCACCGGTCTCTCTGGGGTCAAGGTCAAGGGCCCGACTGTCAGGATTAGAACCTACAGATTTGATGGCCCCAACGTGTCTACTGCCGTTGGAGCTCCTGTTAATCTGGGTACCTTCAAGCACACGACCAAGAACGACCAAGTGAGTTTGGAGAATTACTAATATTCTTCGGATCATGTTTTTCATCGCCGCAGATGACAGAACTCAAGCCTTTGCATTCGAATTTGAAGTTTGGGAGGATCGAAATGTTGTATTGTACTGGTATCGCTTGGATGAGGTTGCAAATCTTTTCCTATACAATCACTTCGCGCCTCGCTGCTTTGGCTATGGAGATTAGCTTCGTGGCGAAGAACAAATGGAATCGTAGTTTCAAATATTCTTACTACTTAGGCCGACAACATTGACCGAAGCTCCGCAAAGGAATCCGAGCCATTATCACAAATTATAGAAGCTCCCGCCAAGATCCCCGAATTCTACAGCTTGGATCGAGGGTTAGACTTCGATTCCAGTATCTTGCCCGCAAGTTCAGCCACTTCTCTCGCAACACCCCAGGATAATTCAAATCCCCGTCCTCCAGCGCCATAAGCATGAACCACATGCTTAACACCCCATGTCGTATCTTTAGCTTCAGTCTCGACTCTCATGCCACCCTCACGAGCTGGTCTTCGCCCAACAACATCCTTGATTACCTCTATGGTCTCAGGTCTTTGGCTTTTATCGCATGCTTGTGGTATGATTGACTGAGCAGCGTTCAGTAGCTGATTGCGTGTTTCCTGTGATGGCTCAAGCTGCCAGTTTCCCACTTCTTTGGTACCGCCAATAACTGTTCCTCCATTGAAAGAACGAGGAATTATGAAGCTCCATGTTCCATCTTTCTTCTGAGTGGTGATTGTTTTGTCGGCGGCGGCGAGGTTGGTCAGCACTGTCTGACCTGGTTCGTGTCAGTTGTTATCGTTTATGGTAATGAGTTCTTGTCGTACCTCTGATGGGGAAGCACTTTTTATCCCCAAAGCCCATTCCACTTGCATTCACGACTAGTTTGACATTAGGTGCCAGGATAAAAGCCTCCCATTCACTCTTCATATCCCTCTGCAGTGTCTTTCCGCCCTGAACAATGAACTTGCGCAGCAAGCTAGCAGTGTACAACGGCGCATGAATACAGTAGGTTTCATACTCGAATCCCAGCTTTACACCTCCAGGTAGCTCATGCGCTTCATACTTCCGATATCCGGGCAGGCCAGTCTCGTTGGCGAAACTCTGAGCATCTTGCTTCAAGTACTCAGGTGACGGATCCTCAAGATACTCAATACCTGGAAGACGTCTGATCCCAACCCAAGGTTCACTCTGCCGATGTTCCTCAAGCTCAGCGATAGTGTGTTTCACCCATTTGGCTTCACGGCGCAGCTGTGGCGTTGAAGCGGGGATGGGTCGGATGTGAGCGCCAGCCCACATTGAAGCATAGTCTGCTGAGTGAGTTGTTGGTGCGCCGGGGATTGAAGTTGGCCATTCTTTGGCGACGAGCAGTACTGATGTTGATGGTGAGTTGGCAGTTAGTTGTTGGATCTTGAGGGCGCTGGTGAGACCGACGATGCCAGCACTGGGATGCTAAGGTTAGCAGGGTTGTAGGTAGGGATTAATGGCGGGAGCATACCCGATTACCACAATAGTGGACTCATTAGTCTCAGTTGAGCCAGGGACTGACATTTTGTTCAGATATGAAGCGTGAAGAGACGCGGGAACAGTGGTAAGTTGATGGACAAGAAAGAGCGGAGGTTGGCTAACATCAGAGGTCCCCACAAAAGTGTTCCAACCAGGAGACAGTTGACTTGAGCTCAAGACAAAGGCATTTACACAGACACAGGTGACGGCAAGTGTAACATCACTGCAAATTACATCCATTCATATCATCATTAAAGTAACTCAGACATGCCGCCATTTCCGTGCGCCGTCGCGGATTGGATAACTGTATTTGCCATATGACAAGTGGCTAAGGATGAAATGTTCACAGAAACAAAAATGAAAACCCGAGCATTCAACGAGTTGAAAAAGTAAGCACTGGTGGTACATACCAGGCAAGACAAAAAAGTGAGGTCCTACCCGGGTTCGAACCGGGGTCTTCGGAAGGCTTCTGAGCGTATCAAAATCCGACGTCATTACCACTAAACTATAGGACCGTTAAGCGATGACTAATCGCTCAAAGTTCAGCACTATCAGTCGCGTTCGACGAGAAAAGACAGACGCTGCCAATTCAACCCGAGATACCCTATAGATATATATTAAGTATAACTTTTACAACACTGCAGTATTACTTATATAACCTTAAATATTTAATAACATTAAAGGCAAAATATTTACTTTTATTTTATTAACAACTGTCGGTTTATTACAAGGTGAAGTGGCTCAGCAGTGTAGAGCATGGCTTAAGTGTCAAGACAAGAGATGTAGTTGAAATGCTTATTAAGATATCTCGTGTCAACAGCAGGTGGCTCACGCTTATGGATGTTTTTATCAGCTGCACGCCATCTTGCCCATATTGCTTTTCTTGCAGGGTACCGGCGCTTATTTTCTTTTATCAGTTCTCTGTTTTGGCGAAGGTGGCTTGCAGGGAGCTCAGCAACAACCGACCGGAGACAGCCGACGCGGAGTGATGCGCATTGAGCACGGAAGTGGCGCTGTGTAACGGTGAAGGAGGACCTGGTCTTGATCGGTGAATGATCACAACTGATAGATGATTGTCATGGGGAGTTATTATTTATAAATATCGCTTAAGACAATAGCCATTAGTACTCAGGTGCTTCCTCAGTGTTAAAGAGGCTATCTCCCAAGATCAGCAATTGCATCTAGCTAGAGATAGATCTGCAATTGAGAAATGTTGCTGTGTACATTATCATTGCTGACCATAAGTCTGGGGTGAAGAACCAATGACGGACATAGCGAAAATGCTGAGGCTCGTTTAGACGGTCTAGCTCGTTAGCTGACAGACGGATGACATGGTCTGTATCAGCATGGCATGTTCTGGGAGGCGACAATCGAGCAAAAAAAGAATAAGCAATCGCCTATTGGCTGAGAATGCTGAGTCATTATCTTTCAACCAATCAGAGTGAATGCGATTACCAGCTCTCAGGTCCGCAGCTGAGATGCTTTGGATAAAGTGGGCCAAACTCTTTGAAAGCCATCAAGTACAAATAAGACCAAGAGCCGCTTCCAAGATTCGGTATCCCAAACAAGCATCTCACAATTCGATCACTTCTCTTCATACCATAATCAATCTAATAACTCTTCCCAACAACTCCACAACACTCCAACCGTCAAAATGGTCGTCAACACTCCCGCTACCTGCTGCCGCTCCGGCGACAACGTCGAGTGCGCCTGTGGTACGTGACATCATCATCCTCCCACCACTCATAACCCTTCTAACAATATCACAGCTCAAAAGGCCACATGCTCATGCGGTCAAAAGTCCGCCCTCCAATGCACATGCTCCAAAGCCGCCTCCGAAAACACCGTCAAGGGTCCTCGCTGCTCATGCCGCGCTCGTCCCGCCGGTGAATGCACATGCGACCGCGCCGCCACCGAGAACGCTACACCTTCTGGTTCAACCTGCGCTTGCGGATCTCGCCCTGCTGGTATGTGGCGCCTTTTGTGTGTTCCTGTGACGACGAAAAGCTAATTGTGGGGTGTTTTAGGTGGCTGCACTTGCGAGAAGGCTGCTGATGGTGGCTTTAACCCTGCCAACGAGATCGACTTTACTACTCAGAAATAAATTTTACGATATCGGTGATGATGAATACGAGTTTAATGGGGTAGAAAAATAAAACATTGCATTTGAATGGCGTTGGGGAATGGGAATGGACTGGTTGGGTGGCGACGCGATTGATACCTAAGATACGGATACAGATATGAACAATATTTACGATATTCAATCGACCAACAGAAGCGTGCAATTGTGTGATACAAATAAAGAGTGTGAGGGTCTGTACGACAATACGTTCGCGATCCAGACACATCGGGATGTTTTGGCCGCTAAGTTAACGCGTCGAGATGATGTTCAATTGTTCATTCTGAAAACGCGCGATCTAAGCCAAGGTCCATTGTCAGATCAGATGTCAATTGTGCCATCTCCAACATCAGACGACAATAGACTGGCAACGTATAATTAAACAACTATTACAGTGTCTGTGCTCAAACGATGGGACGTTCATTTCATCGATGGTAAATAATGAATCGCGTATCTGCAGATAAGATGAACAATTGGACAGCTCTTGATTCACCGCCTTTGAAAGCTCTGCTGTTCTGGCTCGTAACTGGGAGATTTGTCCGGCAGAAAACCCACTAGCGCAATTGGAACTGGCTGACAGCTCCCGGGCGGTGACACCCAATCCAGGCATCACCCCCTGTTCAGCCCGCAAATGATCACTGCCACTGCCACTGCCCCCCAGCCCAGCGCGGTCAGATCAGCTTTTTTTTTCCATGTTCCCTATTGTTCATCGAAAAAATCCACCCACTTTCTGTTCTTTATTGTCGCGCTCTTCCCAAGCTTGATCTTATCATCAACACACATACATCACTCCATCACTTTTCAATCAAGCTGCTTCTTTTGACCAAAGAAACAACAACAACTGTCGCGCGTCACACACACACACACAACAAATCATCACGTCACAAATCCTACGCGATGGCGCCACGAGCCAAAGCAGCTGCTGCTACCAAGACCGCAGCACCCAAGAAGGCCACCACCGCTGCTGCTGCGAAGAAGGAGACCAAGACTACTACAAAAGCTGCTCCTGCCAAGAAGGCTGTACCTGCTGCTGCCACGAATGGCGCCACCAAGAAGCGCAAGGCTGCTGAGGAGGAGTCTGAGCCAGAGCAGGAGGAGGATCGCAAGACAAAGAAGTCCAAGACCACAGAACGCGTCGTGAAGCCCGCTGTCAAGCCCGCCCCCAAGACCAACAAAGCCGCTGCTCCCAAGGCCAAGACAACGACACGAGCAAAGACCGAAGAGGCGGAGGAGAAGCCCGCTGCCAAGAAACCCGGTCGTCCTGTTGGTTCAAAGGCCGAGCCCAAGAAGAAACCCGACTTTCCCGCGATCGGAAAGAAGCTCAACGACGCGCCCACCCAGATCCTCGACGTCTACGTCTTTGGCGAGGGTTCTTCTGGTGAGC